TAAGGCACGATCTTCCAGTCCATTGGGTAGAATGTGCATGGCATATTGGACCGTGCCTTCTCTTCCGATATCGCTAATGGCGGCAATACTGCATTTTTGGAATCCCGGCGTCGTCGCTTTGGCCAGCAGTTGGTCCTTGGGAATCTTGGTGGACGGAAACAGGTATCCCCCGAATTGGGCTTGCACATCCCAAATGGCACTTCGCATAAAGCCGGGGTAGACCATGGCAGCCGGTGGTTTATTAAATAGCGAATTCGTCAACTTGGAAGGATCACGAGCCGCCAGTCGCTCTGACAACGACTCGGCATGTGCCGGTAATGATGGTAGCATTATTGCTCCAGCCGAAACAATGCCGCTTTTGAGTGAGAAAGGAACGGCGATCCGTCGATTGCAAATCCAGCGCTAAGGCAGATACCACCACCACCACCATGACAGCAAGCGGATCCAAAGGCGACAAGGCAGAGGGCTCATTTTGTTTGTTCTTCTCGCTCAGGTTTGTGGCCAATGATCATGGCAGATGCTCTCTATCCTCTCATGAAAGAGTCGAGCCGAGTCGCTAGAGTCGTCAGGCAAAGGGATTCTGGGAGTGGCTTGGATCTACCACTGACGTCATATGTTCAAATCACGAGTGCTTTTTGGTACGGGTCTGAACCATCTTATTTTTGGAGAAGGCGTCTCATTATTTTTCACCTTCAAAAATCCACGGCCGAAAAGATCTACGGCGACTCGACTCTGCAAGAGTTGGTTGTGTACAAGAGTAACTCTCCAATGTGAATTAAAGCATCACAGTATTCGGCACATGCATGCAGGAGTGGTACCGGTACCGCTAGCTAGTACCCAACTGTTGGAAGCTTTTGGAGACGAGTTTCACATCTCACTGCTCGCTTACGTCGTTCCCTTTCACAAAAGCACCTTTTTATACCATTCTTCCCTCCCTTCACGCCTACCTACCCATACCGGTAGATAGATAGATGAACGTTCAGGTCCTCCAGTACCAACCAGGAGGGTTTTGTGTTGACAATGGCAGAAACGAGGGACAGTGCCCGGGGGAGAGGTCGCTTGTCCACAGTCTCCATGAAGTATGACAAGAGCCGAAAGGGATATTTGAGTGATTCCCAAAAGGCAGCACGTGAAGCGGATGCAGACGGCAAGGGATATCTTACCGCTGAAGAGGCTGCAGCTCTTGCCAAAAAGTGTTTAATGAAGTCATCCACCACCACGAATGATCCGCCTGCCGCAGTTCAGGAGTTCATCGCACCTGCCGCCGTTCCGGTAGTATCGGCCCATATGATCATGGCACATCATAATCAGACCAGTGCCACTCCTCTCATCTCTTGTCGCATGGTTCCAGATCCTTCAGAGCGTGGACTCGGACGAATCAGTCTAGCTACTAACTCCAGGGTCGACACCACCACTACTACTACTGAAACGGCATCTCAGGTGACATTTGATGCTCGTACCATCGCTACAAACACAGTCAGTAGCAGCAACAACAGTAGCAATGCAGCGTCTGTTCTCATTACAGTTCCTTGCTCCCCCGCAGGCGGTGTGTGGTCTCCAAGCATGATTCACCTCAAGACAGAGGCAGTCAATGACTGCGATACTGATGACGAGGCGCCCATTTCTGTCGTGGTACCGGTATCCATGCCACCACAACGAGAGCCAAAAGCCCTACTACTACTACTACTATGGACCATCCTGAAGCATCGGGCCCATGGATAAAGAAGATGTCGGTATGAAACGACCGGTAACCGTGACAGTACCTCGGGGGGAGAAGCTAGAACGTGGTGGTGTGGACACAGAAGCACCGTTGGAGCCCACAGAAACTGACGATGACGACGTAAGCAACAGCAACAGCAACACCGAGCATCAAGAGGATAGCAATGTCAGTTTCAGTTGCCAAGTCTCAAGAAGAAGTCGTTGGGTTATCGCTTCAACAGCCTTGGTCTTGATTGCCATTGTGGCGACCGTGGTTGTGATGTTTGCTGTGTATATCACCATGGATCTAAGCAAAGAAATGTAGCTGACATGCAATGCAGACTCCACTCACAGTTGCTCTTGGCATAGACTTGTTGCCACTGCAGCTAATGTTATGGTTGAGCAGCAGCAGAGGCTGCTGATCCTCTCTCTTACTTTCTCTGGTGTCGGAAGTATTTCGGTTAAAAAAATTATGCTTCTAAAGGTTTTAAATTACGTTTCTGCACCGCGACATGATTTCTGCAAAGCAGCCATTGATGTCCAATGCGTCTGAACAATTATATGGTACCGGTAGGCACTGGGATCAAACATAATCCGATCTACCCGTTTGGTATCAACGGTGCACGTAGGACACCTTTAGAAACCTAAACTCCCTTTCTTTGGTCGCGGGAGTGATTGAATTCCATTCAATCGACCTTGGACCCATCTTTAGAATGCGAAGACAACCGCTTTACAGTACGGTACCGGTACACAGGGGTAGTCGAGGTACGATGTAGAAGAAACAAATTGCTATTTAGGTTATTCCCCTCTAGAATACTGCTTGGCGGAGCCATAGCGGACCCGTATCGGGCCTAAAACTGACGTCCCACCAGAGAAAACATAAACTCCAATGGGCTCGAATAGTATTAATAGTGGCCAATGCAATTGGGCTAGCAGTGCCCATAAGTGGCTGAGGCGCTTCGGCAGCTGGTGCCAGTACCTTTTGCTTGGCTTTGATACTCTTCTCCACCACATATGGAGCCATTTGCCAACCATGCTTTGGGTCCCAAGGAGCCATGGCCATCTGTTTGCATACAACGACGTACTAGTACAGTACGATGTACTGCACGGTGCACGGAAGCTACAGCACCGGTAGCGTGCATTCAATCGTCGAGTCCGATGTCACAAACGTCCTTGGGTACTAGTAATTAAATCCTATTTAAAAGCCCTTTAAGTCCAAAATGCTTCTTTAATTAAATCAAGAAAGATTCCAATCGTCCCTTGAGACGTGACGAGACAGTCCCTGCCCATGCAAGTCCGAAAACTCTGAAATGGGATCCAGTTCCAGACTTGTTTTTCACGTATGGTTGTTTGCTTCCTTCTCTTTTGCTTGTCTCCTAGCCTCTGCTCACAAATACACAGCGCATCGCCAAAAACTACTAGTACCATGGAAGAACACACCACCACTATCCCCGTAGCTTCAGCTACACCCGTTACGGGTCCAACCACCACCACGCCAGTTGTAACGGTACAACTCGTCGGAAATGAATCAAATCTGTCGGCTGCGGCAGTGGACAACGAAAGAGGCAGGGACCCTCCAGCCAGGAGCGTCCACGAAGAAGAAGAAGAGAAACCAGCCAACCAGGAAACAGGCAACGACGAGAACGATGGAGCTGGATCCATTCTTCCTGTACCTGGGGCATCCGGAAGGGGCGTTTGGACTCCAACCTTCATTCACCTCAAAACAGACGCTGTCAATGACTGTGCACAAACGTCTGATATAGAGCCACCCACCCAAACCACAGCCACAAACACATGCTCAAGCACAAGCAATGTCGATAGCAATAGCAACAACAATAAAAAGCAGGAAGCCAACGAAAAGAGCTCTTTTCGCTCGAAGTGGGCTTGGTGGGCTCTCGCTGTGGCTGTAGTGATTGCCATAGTGATTGCTGTTGCAGTTGCTGCATCCTCTGGTGGTGGCGGCGCGTTGGGCGAAGATCACGCTGCGCTCCGAGCTTCGACTGGGGTGCCCGCCAGCGCCTTTGCCACAGCTCACCCTGTCCCAACTCTAACTACCGTGGCACCAGTTCCAACTGCCGGGGCACCCACCAGCCCAGAAGCCACAACTCACCCTGCCTCAAGTCCCATTTTACCCCCTCATAGTCAACCTACCAGTGCATCACAAGACACTGTTGAGCTTTTTGGCACAACCTACCATGTTGCCACCACAAGGACAATTGATCGATCAGAGGATGGCCTTACAGGAACCATTCCCACTGCAATTGGATACTTGACTGCCTTGACTCATTTAAACTTTCGAAACAATGAATTGAGTGGAACCATTCCCTCAGAGGTGGGGGCGTTGACTGCATTGACTTTTCTGAGCTTGTATGGGAACAAGTTAGTTGGGACCATACCTACAGAACTTGGATTGCTCAAACGGTTGAGAGGGCTGTGGTTGTATATCAATGAATTGGAAGGCAGCGTCCCATCGGAGGTTGGATTGCTGACTGCCTTGATGGAGTTGAACTTGCATGGTAACAACTTGGGTGGTGACATTCCAAGTGAGTTGGGGCACTTGACCTCCACAACCTTTTTGAACTTGAGTGAGAACAGGTTGGTTGGCACCATCCCAACTGAGCTGGGCCCACTGACCAAGCTGACTCTGCTGTGGCTGAGCGCCAACAACTTGAATGGTGAGGTTCCGCCCGAGATTGGATCCTTGACTGCGCTCAATTCTTTGAATGTTCGAGAGAATGTTTTGAGTGGCAGTGTGCCGGCTGAACTTGGTTCCTTGACAATGTTGACCGAGTTGTATTTGTATGACAATTATTTGTCCGGCGATGTTCCCGGTAATCTATGTACCAACCCTGGCTTGGAGGCTATTTGGGTTGATTGTGAGCCAGAGCCCTTTCCCGTGGGCTGTGAATGCAGTGTCTATTGTTCTTGCATGTAAAAGTGCTCGCTGTGGCCTGGTTCTTGGCGCTGGTGCCGTAACAATCTATAAAAGTACGCTGTGTACCGTAACGTTAAGCTAGCTAGTCGACATGGTTATGCTACAGCGGGTCTTTTGCGTTGTTGGTTATAGGATTGGCTGACCCCGTACCCATGTCAACATGTGGCTTGTTCATTCTGCGGTTGAATCGAATTTCGGAATCGAATCGAATCGAATCAATCAGAATTGTGCGGGGCAAAAAAACAAAGCGGCGAACCGGCTAGCCACAGTAGCCAGCCAGACTCTTCGTAGTTGTGCAAAAGACAACGACTTGCTGTAAAACGTGGCATGCCTGTATCCGGCTGAGCTCGAGCTACCGGTACCTGGTTGGGAGGAGACTGGACCAGCAGCCAGGAATGATTATCAGCTCCTAAGCAAAACAATAGTCTAACTGGAATCACTTCCACTCATAAAGAGAGGAGTTGGAATGCTGCCAATGAGAATGAAGGTTGTAGTATCCTACCACCCGAGAGCTTGGTCTTTGGTACCTAGCTAGCATTCCTCCATCCTTCGTGCACCGTAGCCATAGCTACCGGTACGGTATCAGCTAACTAGACCCAGCTGCCCGTGCCCCAGAACGAACTCGGTTTTTTCGTATTGCCCGAGATACGAAAACGGTCGTCTTTCTATGGATCCAGCAACTACATGTACAAACTTTCTTTTATGTCTGCTTACCACTACAGGTACCACTAACCAATAAACCTACTTACCCCCCATGACAAAACGTGTTGTTTGGCCACTCCACTCTAGCCACTAGCTGTAGCCTACCGAACATGTGTACGGTACCACGGCAACCATTATTGAAACTGCATCGATCAAAAGCATTGCTTGAATTGGCCAACATGGCTACATGATAGTGGATTGTATTGTAATCTTTTGCTTGAGGCGGTGGTGGTGTATTGTGGTGGTGGCGTTGATTGTTTCAACAACAACTGTCCGAGGTACTTCGAGTAGAGTTATTGGTCATGTTGGAAGTTTGATATCGTAAATCAATGGGTGGCTGGGCTGGCGGAATGAACAATTGTGGAGTAGACCGTTGTTTGTAGGCTTCGTATTGCAGTGCGAGTCTGGCAGCTTCTTGGAATGCTTCTTCGACATTAATGGCCGTTTTGGCAGAAGATTCAAAATGGGCCAAAGGACGGGCCATACCCATGGCAAAATTGCCCGCGGCTCGTCGACACCAATCTTCGGCACGGTCCAGTGGCACGAGTCGATCACCTTGTTTGTCCATTTTATTTCCCACCACGACAAATGGAAAACTCGATTGACCCAATGTCGTGTCGATATCTCCCAGACTGTTTCCACCCACGTGCTGCAGAAATTCACGACGCCAATGATCCAGATTATCGAGGGAATGCGGATCGGTAATGTCGTACACCAACAAACAGGCATCACTGCCGCGATAAAAGGAATTTCCCAACGATTGAAATCGCTCTTGACCGGCAGTATCCCAAATTTGAAGTGTCACTTGTCGTCGGACCCCAAATTGATCACTCACAAAAATCTCACGAGACAAAAAGTCGGCGCCAATCGTTGCCTTGTATTGACCCGTGAATTTGCCACTGCTGTATCGATTCATCAGCGAGGTCTTGCCCACACTATAATCAATAATTAAAAACAAATGTAGTAGTAGTGTAGTTTGTAAGGATAATGCAGACAAGAGCATGGGTAGATGGGTATACCCTTCAGTCAACTCAACTCGATCCAACACTAACTCACCCCGAATCGCCCAGAATCACAATCTTTAAGGTTTTCTTCTGATGAGACATCTTTCTTCCTCTTCTTCTTCTTCTGTTATCTTGACTAACTTGTTGTTGTGGTCTTTGTTGTTGTGGTGGTCTACCGGTTGGTTGGATCTTTGGAGAGCGTTGGCAGCGTTGGATCAAGATCGAGGGCGAAGAATCTTGATTTTCTTTCGTGCCATTGGGCGTAGCAATCCAGCAGAGCTACCGGCACGAACAGTTATGACCAGCCTAAAGGAGGTTATCTTTGCTAGGAGGTTTGGAACACCCCTATTTTCTACCTGGGGCATAGGGGCGGTTTCAGTCATTTAGGGGCTGGTTCAACCCACCCCTATTGTTGGGTTGGATTTAAGGGTAGGTTCAGTGCCCCAATTTTAGTCGAATTTAAGATACACCATTGCGACACATTCCTGTCACACTTCTTTGCTCTAACCGGAACAGTCAATTATCGTCATTTTGGCAGTGTTAAAAGAACTTTTAAAAAACTACGCTAACAGTAGTAAAACCTGTTAATAAAATCTATTTTAAAGCTACTCTGAGCAATTACGACTTGTCTATCTTGCCACTAACCTAAACCGACAACCTTCACAAGTGCACATCGGTTCAAAATCGATGAATTTTCTTTTAAGGTCTGGCCGTGGTAGGGCAACAAATAACATTTCTATGCCTTTATTTGAGTGAATTGATGTCAAATAGGCAAAGATTGGTCGTTATCCACATCATATTGCCGCAATTTGAAGAAAAACCAAGCGCAGCGACGTCCAGATCTAACAAAACGTTTCAACAGATGTAATTAGTAAAGCAAAGAGCGTTGAGCCCTCAACCGAGAAAATAAAAACCCCACGGAGATATGATATTGTTGGCTGTGCAGTGTTGACATTACCACTACATCAAATCTAGCAGCTTTACTTTAAAAATTATTTTAAAATCGCCGCTTAAAAGTTACTTGATATTTGTACGGATATATTTTAACTTTAAGAAGTTCAGTTTCCAGATATTTCATTTGTACATTAATATTTAAAAGCACTTGTTTGAATGTTTGAAATTTAACATTGAATCTGACCTAAAACTCCACTTCCTACTGCAACTACAACCCATGGATACAGCTAACTCTCGCTGTACAGAGTGGTCTCTTCTTGATATCGTGTAACATGTGTTGTCTGGGGATATTCATTCGGTTCTTCCCTCCTTGTCTAAGCTGCATTTATGAACTGATTGACAAAGACATCATTACGGTCGATATGATGTTGAAGAGGTCCGTTGGATGGACCTGCGAGATGTTCAGCTTCGAGCCTGTAGGATAGGTTGTATTGCTTGCAATAAATCTAGTTGGAAGCCCCACGATTTGCCTATCTAGACAACACTCAAGGCAAACAACATGGTTCTAGCAGAACCGCCCCTCTCCGGTACTCTCAGTGCCACCAGACTGGTTCCGAATGAGGGAGTTCCTCCGGCAGCTATGCCAATGGGGAAGTACAGTAGGTGCCAACCAACACAACTGGATGTTGGCCCCAATGGCGTCATGTCATGGATGAATGAGACTACGGGTCCAGCTCCCAAGGTCTCCTACCGAGTGCACAGGAGCCCCACTAGTGCCTTTGGCCTATGGCTCCAATGCATCATTGGTCCCATGACAAGCTACAGGATTGGACGATTCCAATCCTTGCTGCCGAAGATACCGTCCCACCTAGATTTTCGGTTGGGCGATTAGTCTCTGTCCCTGACTGGTCGAGCCCATCCAACCCATCCGTCAAGGAACATGTCTGCGGGGCAGAAAGGCCACTCCACTGGAGTCTGCCTCCGCTGAACTTGGCCAACCGGCTTCGCAAGCTATCTATTTGTATGACTGTTGAAGAAAGAAGATCATTATTGAATTGTGACACCATCAACGCTTATGTTCAATAGTGTTGATCCGTTCGGCTCTCCCAGCCTAGCACCTACCATTGGCTAAGGCTCCAAGACGGTGTGTACCACTATGCACACCTCAGTACTGTGAATGACTCACGTTTCAGTGAATGACAACATGAAAAAAAGGTTGCAGTTCCACCGTTCCTGAGGCCTCGCAACACAAACATTCACGAAAAAGGATCATGTCCAATGCAACAAAGCAATCAAGCTGATCCCACACTGATCGATTCAGTTGCTTTGGTTCAACACAACAAGCTGGTCACGCCGATTGGTATGCTCCTGGGGAGACCCAAGGAAGACTTCAAGCACACCAGTTCGAAATCAATCGTCCCATTCCAGAGGCAACGATTTGATCCCAATGATGCTGATCCTATGGGGAGTCTTAGTGTAGCTAGCCGTAGGTAATCGTCCCGTTCACCTGTGGTATTACCACAAGAGTGAATCCATTTGCCCTTGTGGGGAGCTATGAATTACAGGGCAAGAGCTCTAGATTCGTAGTAGTAGCACTAAGGCAGCTTGCTGGCTTATTGTCTGGAAAGATGGATATCCACCCATCTTCGTCCATAGTTCAGAATAATGAAATAGTAAAGAGTGCCTGAAGACCCAGATAGCATACCATAGCCTTGCAGTAGAGAGAATCCTATGTGGTCCATGCTAGGGTAAATAGCCGTGATTCAACCATTTCAATAGCAGTGGTTGAATAGCATTGGCAGCCAGCTCTGAGGAGCTGGCCTTGACATCCCAGTGAAGGGAGAATCTCACCAACCAGAGATTTCCCAATCTGTCGCTGGCCAAGTCCTTGACTGAGAGCCATCCTCCTGCCGAGGAAGGCCAGTTGAGGCTCCCTTACTGCCTAACTACCAGCTGAGATCTGAGGAAGAGATCTAGAGAGGTTATTCCCCGAGGAAAGACCTCCCGAAATCTCATCGCAATGTTTCAATACACTTAGGAATTTATGCTCAGTCTCTCACACGCTTATTAATGAAGCATTTATTTAAGCCTTTTCTACCAAGGCTACACAAAAAGTAGTAACTTAGACAAACCCGCAGGAGTAAGATTTGATGAACGCAAACCACAATACTACTATTTTACTATACGTATGTACCATTGATTGTAAATATATTACATTATTCCTTTTTTATTATTATGCATTGAAACGCCTTCAGAGGAAGCACATGTGTCAAGAACTATTGAAACGTACACTATTACTATACGCAAATATTCAATGCAAGATTCGAAATATCTCCTGTGCAGGATTCCCATTATTACTAGGTGGAAAAGACATAAGCCAAAAAACACGAATCCTGCATAAGCACGCCAATTGCACCCCTTAGAACAATTTACTATATCTTTTACTGTACGAATCTACAAAGATGTGCAGTCACACTTTTATACTCTTTTACTATACGTATTCGCTCTGTGCAGGATTCATCTTGTTTGGCGATTTCACGGAACACAAAAGATCGTTCGATGCATGTTTCAAAGGTCACCATTACTTAGGCCTGTGCAGGAAACGATTTTTACTGGTTAACAAGAGATATAAGGTCGTTAGTTCGAATCCTGCATACAACCGCTTTTGCTCCCCTCTCCATTTTTGCTATACAATGTACAGTACGCATCCACGAATTCTCATAAACTGTCACTAGTCAAGCTAGGAGATAAGTAATTCGTGTCATGCATATCAACACGTTTACAGGTACATGTAGCATCATTTACTATTAAAAGTACTGTAGGAATCTAGTAATTCACGATTCGAAAAGGAATTTGGTACCGTTTATGCAAACCACTGTGGGGATATATAGTAAAATAGTACGATTGTGCTTTGCCAACACGAAACGGTGCTCTATCTCGTTGCTAGCTACTACATGTACTAGAGCTCTAGCTAGATAGTACTAGCTAGCTAGATCTAGCTTGCCAGGTTTCCAGCGCTTCCTCCTTCTTCATCTCTAACCCTTGTATTTTAATAAAATAATTTTATTGCAAAAATTCATGCTCCTCAGTGGCTCCCCCTAGGGTCGTTAATTAAGAAAATGTTGAGTGGCTGACTCGTCATCTGTCATCAGGTTCTCTGGAGTTGCCTTGCACAGTCAAAAGCTGATACACGTTTGAAACATCAATGATGGCCATGTGCTATTGCTGATAGTGTAGATGCAGCTGAGTTAGATAAAGCTTTGTCAAACCCCAGCTTGGTTGGACGAAAAATGGAGCCATTAAATGGAACATGTCATGGCTATATCCAGAAGTATATAATGCAGCAAACACAGAATATTAACCCTCATCTTGGCTTAGAGTTATTATTGCAAATTTTATTTGTATGGTTCTTATGTATTTACTCTATTTGTGTGCTGGTTCGTTTGTTTGTGTGTCACATTTTTCAGCTCCAACACTATAATTGTAGCCTACCCAAACGACGAACAGATGGTGGTTGGCCAGCTAGCTAGAGTAGCTACTG